CTATTTGTCCTTTTAAGATTCCCTAACCTGAGTTGTGGATCTTGGTTATTCTATATCTATATATGTTTTCAATTCCTTTCCATATCTCCATGGTCTTTAGAGGTTTCGCTTTTGTATATAATTTTTATTTTGCATACAGAGCTTTGCAAGCTTTTCCAAATCTTTATCTGGTGTGTTTCTTTCACAGTTTACTGTGCTGTGTCACAGTTTACTTTGTAAAAATGGGGGGAAAAGATGTCTACGCATAATTTTCCTTTCATTACCCCTTCCTGTTTATTGTCAAAAGCTAAAGACTCTTGAGTTTGCTTAGTGAACTGTTTTTATTTCTCTCCTAAAACCTTATCACTCCCCACCCAGATAAAAACATTCTCTGCCAGCGGCCCTCCCTGCTTCCTGCTGAGTGGGCTTTAGCAAAGTGCGCTGCTCCGGAAGTCTGCAACTTCAACCTGCTTCTATTTCTGCGCCACGTGTTCATTCTTCACTTTGAACAAACTCATTGGATGAGTGGTTCTTTTTAAAAAAAAACAAATAAATTTTATTTAACTTTACGATTTAAGACGAATTAACCGCATTAGTCATGGACTAATTAGTCATGTACTCCATGACATTAAACACGTCATGGAGTACAGCCAAGTAAAACCTCCCCTTCTAACTGTAAACTGAACCAATGGTATAATCCATTTTATGGGGGAGCTTCATATTGATCTGGAAATAATCGGTCACTAATTTAGGGAAAAATTACGTCACGATTTTTATTTTGTCTTTTGTTTTTTGTTTTAAGAGTATAGTATATACATGAAAAATGTCCTCACTTTGCAACAACGGGTCCTCACTCTGATGGTAAGACAGGTACACACATATACACACCCTCATAGACGCAGGCGCGCACATAGTGGAAAAAGAACAGGGTCGATTTATGCGTTATGTTTTAAGTGTAGGCTGATCATTGAAAATATTCCAAGAAAGATAACATATTAAACCAGATACAAATGGAATTATTGCGCATTAATTGCCAAGAAACAGAAGAAAATGAAGTGAATTACGTATACGCTCAATTGACATAACAAGGACTTTAATATATAAAATTTCTCCTGTCGATCGTTGAGAGCTGAATGTTTTCATGTAAGTTAAAGTCTTTTTTATTGTTTTCATAAAGGTGCTTCAACATGATCGGGGAAAAAAAAGTTGGTATAGAAGTGATAGGTTGTTATACACGTGTTAATGACGACAGAGACTCTTGTTTTACTTTCCTTTTTAAGATGTTCTCTTTCTCCTCTTTAATTGCAAACTTTAAAGTAATTTAATATAAGCAATAAATATATATTAGTTTATATATTTATTGTTTTTAAAAATGACTGATGCAGTAATAATATCATGTTTTGGGGTGGTTTTTATCTCAAAACAACGATTTAAACTTTGCTTTAACGGGTTTGGGTGGAGTGTACCCTCTTACAGTGGTAAAACCTCTCAACACCCACTGCCTTACATGTTTTAGGTTTTTTCCCTTCACAGACCTGACCTAAATACAAAGGTGAGTAGCAGGCTGCTACATGGTGTCTGCTAAGGAGGGGGTGCAATAATTTTATGCCGGTGTGCTGGGGTAGAGACTCATCTAGTGGTCTCCAACCCCGGTCCTTAAGATCTACTGTCCTGCAGGTTTTAGATGCATCCCTGCTCCAACACAGCTAAATCAAATGAATGGCTTTTTACCAAGACTTTACCAAAATTGATGGCATGCTGAAAAGCTAATTCAGTCCTTTGATTCAGCTATGTTGAAGCAGGGATACATCTAAAACCTGCAGGACAGTAGATTTTGAGGACTGGGGTAGGAGAACCCTGTTTATGAGGTCCCTGAGGGCCACTGTCCTGCAGGTTTTAGATGCATCCCTGCTCAAGTAGGACAGCTACTTTGGTGATGCCTGAACTAAACCATGAAAGACCATGGGTTCTTTAAGCACAGGCATCCCCAAAGTCGGTCCACGAGGCCTGCTGTCTTGCAGGTTTTAGACGCTTCCCTGCTTTAGTGCAGCTGATTATGATGACTGCAGTTGAGCAAAAGTCTGTTAATAAGCTTTCTATTAAAATCAGCTGTGCTGGAGCAGGGAAACCTCTAGTACCTGCAGGAAAGCGGCCCTCAAGGACCAACTTTGGGGATGCCTGCTAAGCAGTAGTTTTCAAACTGAACCTAGGGTGGCAGACAGATGAACGGTCAAAAGAGTAGTGAGTTGATTGTACCCTTGGACAAGATTTGATTTTTTTGAACGTATTTGTACAAGAAGAAAAAAGGTTTAGCATTATAAGGAAAAAAAACAAAACACACAAGCCACAGATGAGTGTATTTTATTCTCTTTCTAGAATTTGCGCTCCTCAATCCACACACCTGATGCACACCTGACTTATATGAATGATTAACAGACTTCTGCAGCACTTAATGGCTGCCAATGAGGTCATACAATCATTTGAATCAGGTGTGCTGTGATAGACATCTAAAACCTGCAGGGTGGTGTTCAGGATTAAAACCTAAATGATAGAAGATAACATCTTTCAGTCCAGCTGTTTTTCATAGGTTTGGTCCTTAAAAATGTATTAGAGCAATGGTTCTCAATCTCAGTCCTCAAGTACCACTTTCCTGCAAATTTTAGGTAGTTCATTGGTGTCAAACACCTGTCTAGCATGAAGGGATGATTAAAAGGCTTCTGCAGCCCTTCATAAGAACTGGTCACAGTTTTTTAAATGGAGCTCTTTTTAAGATGGGGAAACTTACTGGTTTTTGTAGTTGGTGTGGTAATGTAGAAACAATGGAACATGTTTTTATTAGTTGTAGAACATGTGTAAATCAAATAACATTGCTGAAAACAGAATAAGGTTTTAATGGGGAATTGAAATTTGAGAATGTGGTTGAAAAGTTGAATAGTATTGAGGGGAAGAAAATTTTTCGTAAAAAAAAAAAATACTGGGATCATTATGAGAATTTGAGGGATAGGTATTAGGACCCGATGAGCTGGCAGTAGTGCAACGATAATGGATGCAAGATGCTGTTAAAAGCTAAAGAAGACGCCTTGTATAAGTGTGCCCTGAATAAGGCACTGGATTCACTTCAATTCAGTTTATCTATATAGCGCCAAATCACAACACGTCATCTCAAGGCACTTTACAGGACCTGATTTGGATATTTGTCTGTAGAAATTACGTTAAAATAGCTTAAAAAAGCCATATCAATTGAAAGCATCTTTACCATTGTCAATCGACACGTTACTTCAAGTAGCCCTGTTTATATTTCACAGGTTTTTTTGCTAATGTTTGAAAAACTAGTTTATGAAATATCCATAGAATAGCTCTCAGAGGTTTACATAGAAAAAAATGAATCAAAACGTATCCATCGATGTATTAATCTCCAGCAACTGAACAAAAAATAAACGTATATTGCATGCTGGGGGGAGGGTTTAAAAAAGAGGCAATTACCTAGTTGTATAGTTTTACATGACTTGAAGATGCTACAGGTTTCACTGCTTAATGAATGCTGTTATTTTATTTTTTTCAATTCTTCTGTCTGGTTGATTTTAATAATCATTAGAATTAAAATCCTTCAAGTTTGCACACAAACTTTTACTGAAGTAAACTGCTTTTTTCATCATTGTTCAAGTCGGTCAAGTTTTAAGCAATCGAAGATGTTGAAATAATGCCCTTGCCTTACATTCAACTCAGTTTAAGAATCCGTCGTACCTTCCTTACACCCTTAGAGGGAAAGGCAACACTTTAAAATCACCTCATTTGCAGAGGTGGTTTTCGAAACCAGTGGCAGTCAAAATGTACATTCTCTTAAATGGGTTTGCCTCTAGACCACAAGCATTGGGGTTGCACTTGGATCAACCTACTGAAGATCAGTTCCTTTTAAATTAAATGATCTGAAATTAAAAGCTTGCTGGTATATGCATGTAGATAAATATTAGAGCTTTGGTAATTTACCTGGAGCTTTATCTAGTTTTCTTAAGTTGTCCTCTAAAATAAAAAAAAAATAAAAAAACACTAGTATTTTTGTTTAGAAACCTAGTGAAAAACAACCAGAACTCTATTAATAAAAAAATGGAAGTAAACATAATAAAGGTAACTTCTTCAGTAAGCATTTTATTTCTCTATCTGCGCAGTAACGGTACACAGAGCATGGGGAGATCATTGCAAAAACAAAAAGGAATCTTATTGAATAAAATAATATGGGGACATATGTTTCCAACATAAAGCCAGATAAATAGCAAAAGGGTAAAAAGTATATTTAATCGTGTAAAAATAAGACTGCCTTAAGAGCTGATGTAAATGTAAAACAGATGTTTACTTTTTATAAATAAAAATCCTACATAAACGTTAGGAAAAAAAATCTGATAAGAAAACAGCACGAAAACAGGGTTTAATATGAATTTAACATCATGTTGACAAAAATGATACAAATTTTTTGTATTCTGTTTAGCGCACCTAGGCTTCTTTCGGCACAATGGATAATTGTAATTACTTTAAACACCTGGAAGCACTAATAATTTCAACATTTTAATTAAAATGGAAAAATGCAAAAAAGAAAAAAAGAAACCAGGGAAAATGTTATTCCATTAAATACATTTTGAGAACATGGCTCATTATTGAGCTTAGATAAAACCAGTAACTGCAGAGACCCACATGAGGTACATTCCCAAGGTAGACCTTCAGGCCATATTCCATATAAATAATATAGCAGTATTTCTTATCAGGACTTTAAAACTTTATCCATTAAGAGATTCACAGAATGAACTGCACTTTGGACTTTAGGGGGCAGCAGAACTATTACATTAGACATTATAGAAGTCAATGATTCTCAAGTTACACAACACCCGAAGATAGAGAGGTGTGGATGAATACATGAGGGGATTGCGTTTGGACATCAGGTTACAAAACAAAGTCATGAAATGTTCAGAGAGAGGTTTACACATGTTCACAGCATGTAAACAAGGAGCTACTGGGAACTGAACAGGCAAACTGGGAATTGGTTTGCACACTGGTGACTTTATTAAAGCTCAACTAAGTAACAAGAGAGTGGTGTTTACCGAATGAAAAGATTAATATTTAATTGACCAAAATTAACAACCATAAACCCATGTTCTCTGGACTGAGCAATAGCTTCTAAAAGTGATAAGGTGTGTGTGTAACCCAGTTAGAGATCTGGTCTTTGGAGCGTTTAGCCGAGCTGTGTGTGGTGAAGAGGGATTTGAAAGCCTCAGACTTTTCCTCCATGTCTTGGATGGATCTCTTGGTGGCAGAAGTCAGGAGTAATTTAGAGCCTTTAGAGGAGCTGGAGGCACCGGAGGGTCCAGCCACATCTGGACGGGACGAGGAGAGAGGAAATAAAAGAGGAAGGAAATTAGAAATGATGGCAACAAAGATGGTTTAGTTCAGAAAAAGTATCATTATTTTTATTTTTTTTACTTTTTTAAGACGATACAGTTATTTTTATAGTGATTCAGTGTAATTGGAATAATTTATGAACGGGGACAAAATAGGCAAACTAAGATTAACCTATATCTCAAAAGAAGAAATTTACACCGAATCTGAAAAAGAAAAAAAAAAACATGTTTTATTTAGTTTTACAAATATATTTTCATAAATGTATTCAGGATTTTCAAATGATAATGTAGAGACAACCTGACTTCTCTTCATGATAGCCTCTGAGGAAGTATGAGCAAACAGAGCTACTTGTACATCTTAAACTGCTGTTAACCAGCAATATAAACCTGATGTTTCAAGATAGGGATATTTTTATAGTAGTCCTCAAAAAATTTTTCTTTTCTTAATAGCAGTTTAATTTAAACAGATACTCTGTCTGCATGTCCCTCCACTAGATGTGTTTATCCACCTGATTGGCTGCTTTCATCTCCATTTTGTTGTGATTTCCTCCCAGTTACATCCACTGCTGGAGACTGGGAAGCCTCTGTGGGTAGGAAAAAAAGAATCAAAACAGAGAAACCCATTGTGTCCAACAGGAAGTGAGCACGGTTACATCCTGTCTCTCAGCTGGAAGAGAGCAATGCCCAAAGACAAGTTTTAATGGGAGACGGCAATACAGATAAATGGTAGAAGCCCTCTGGTGAACAAAAAAAAAAGGACAACAGTTAAAATGTAAATCATCATATAGAAAAAAGAAGAGGAAGTCAATACTTGTATGACCATTTTACAACAATGCCGCTTTGCTCCCGTTACACCACAATTTCTCCATTGTGGGACAATTAAAGGATTTTCTGTTATATTCTAAGATCTCCTCACATGGAGACAAAAGTATAGATTGTGTTTTGCATTGTTGAAAAGTTTCGGTTCTGCAGTAAACCAAATTTTTTTTTTAACCAAGCTGTTAACAGGAACCAACAGTTGAAATGTAAATCGTCATAAAGAAAAGGGGAAAGAAAGTATTCTTCTCAACAGAGAAAGTCTAGACTTCTGTGACCATTTCACAACAATTCCGCTTTGCTCACGTTACACTGCAATTTCTCCATTGTGGGTCAATTAAAGGATTTTCTATTATATTCTAAGATCTCCACACATGGAGACAAAAGTATAGATTGCGTTTTGCACTGTTGAAAAGTTTCGGTTTTGCAGTAAACCACTGTTTTTTTAACCAATCTGTTAATAGGAAATCACATTAAGGATCTTGCAGTGCAGAGCATGACCTGCATCACAAGAAGCCCCTACTTCAGTTTGAATGATTTACATTTATTTTCTTCTAGTAAAAAAAATTGAATGTAAACAGAAATTTGGTCATAAACCCTTTTGACTTTCTAAATATATAACTGTCAGGACTTTTACTTTCACCGTGTGTGAGTCATATTTTAAGTAGAAATTTCATGCCAGCAGGTCTATGCTCTTGAAAGCTAGATAAGATAAAAACAACTTCCTGAAGTTAACTGAACTTAATGAACTTAAACAAGGCGGCAGGTGAGCAGGTGGTTGGAAAATTTCCCAAACTACTCATCTTCTGCTATTCTAATGCACAAACATCTCAAATGCTGAGGGAGCAGGCCCTAAAACGGGACAATTTCCAGTGTTTGGTGGTGGTTAGAATGAAAAGGCCTTGTTGATTTTAGAGGAGAGGGCAGATTGGTTCACATTTACCCTAAGGCAAAAACAGACACTCTGACTAATTTTAACAACCAATGTAAACAGAAGACAATGTATACAAGCCACCGCTGCAAATACCCAGGAAACCGAGACTACAAATCATAGAGGCCAAGTAAATAATTTACAAAAAAAAATAAAAGAAAAAAGCACTACATTGGCAAGTCTCAATCTTAACTGCAGCTTTGACGTATTCATCATACTGAGGGTTAATGTTTCAGGCTATTTTGTGGATGCATTATGGTGTAAGGGATATTTTCTAAAGATCATTTAGGCCCTTAGCATCACTAAAGCATGGCTTAAAAATCAAAACTTAGCAAAGTATTGCTGCTGCGTAATCTGATAGTTGCTCCTAGGAGGAGGAGCCATCAAGTCACCTGTGACTAATAAATATGACAATAAATAATCTGTACTCTGATGACAGAAAACAGTATTCAACCAGAAAGAGAGCCACAGGAATATAACAGGAGAGCTGCATCCTGGGTTTAGAGCCAAAAACGAAAATCAGAACGGACTGAGTGACCTGTAGCTACACAACAGATACTGTTTTAGATATCTTGTTAAATCAGTGTTACTAAAGGTGGTTCCACCTGGCAAAGGTTACCAAATAAAGTTTCCAGTGAGCTTAAACAACTGGTAGCTTTATCCCAAATGTAAAATATCCTCTCATACTAGAATGTTTACTCATATTTCACTCGATGAACATAAAGTTGTTTATAATATGTGACTGCTGTTGGCTTTATAATGGATATGGAGAGTGCTGATGTTCATCCAATGTAATTTCTAAGCTCCACGGCACCAAAATGGCTTCTTATTAAATCATAACCCGCAGTGTTGTACCTCAGCCCTGCACAAAGTGAACACAGACACAAATGATGCATCGGAAATAGAAAAGATAATGTCCGCGTTCATGTGTGCAGATTCAGAAAATCAGAATTCAGAGAAAAGGCTGATTATCTTAACATCTACAGATAGTGGAAGTGCTTATGTGGTTTTCAAAATGCTCTGCTAATCAGATGTCTGCCAGAATATTCAGTGACTGATCTTAAAACTGCATATAAAAAACTGCATTACTGAAAAATTATTTAAATTGGTAAACAAAAAACAGTAGTTACTTCTGTTTGATTAGTAATGGATTTTTCATAGATTTATCATCAAATTGTTCAAAAAGAGAACAACTTTAATAAGAACATAATGTTAAAGTTTGGAAAGATATTAATAGAAAGGGAATTAGTCTTATTTACCAAAACGTAAACGTAACTAAACTTCAATCAAGCTGGTCATGTTATTATCAAATGCATCTTTTTGTGGACAATAATACTTTGCCATCGATGCGATAAGCGATACAGCTGCCAGCCAACAAAACTATAAAGCTCCTTTAGAACCATAACTCTTCATTTATTGGGCTGTCGAAAAAACTTTATGGATTCCTAAAAGCCTCTCAAAATCATAATAGAAGTCATTAAATCATGTGGCCTCCATTATAAGCCAATAATAAAAGACAAAAGTCTGCAGGATTTTTTATACTATTTGTGTAAACAGAGTTTTTTTCCCCAGAAGTCTCCAGATTAAAATCCCCTTTTAGAACCAAAGGTGAGAGTAGATTCATAGAATAAAAGAAAAAAAAAAAAAAAAACACAGCATGTAAACAACAAAATAAATATTAAAAACATGCAGAGAAACTAAGAAAGTGAAAACCAAATGAATGAAAACAGTTTGTAAACATTGACATGAAATCAACAATATGTGGAAGAAGACAAGTTGGACAAATAAAACAAGATTAAGCGCTGTCCTCCACCTGAACAATAAATAATAAATAAAGCCATAGGAACCTAAAATGTGGAAAAACTGCCCCACCTTAGAGTGTGGAGAGCAGGAAAACCTCTGAAGGGAAACTTTAGGTGAAACAATAGTAAAGTGGGTGTAGCAGGATACCAATCATTCAACAGTTTCACATTTTGCTCTTTTTTTAATGACTTGTTTTTATCCTCACCCACATTAGAATGAAAATGATAAACTTACTGCCATATACATCCTGAGGTATAAAACCAGAAAGTAGCCAACATCTGTTTTGTACAGTTTTCAACTTCTAAAATCACAACGTGAAGTTAGAAACTCTGCTATATAATGATCAAGAAATAGCTGGTTAGTTATACTCAAGTAATTGTCTATTATGAATGAATGTGATTGTAATTTGTTTCCAGTACATATTCAGGGTCTTTTTTTGATCAGAGACATGCTTTTGATCTTAGAGGGTATAAAATATTCAGAAAAACAAAAGCAAGAATAAATGTAAAACAACATATTTCTTTTTTGGGGTTTATGTAATGAACAAACTAGATCAGGAGCAAAAAGACTGCACAATATTAATAAGGATTGAAAACATATTTAAGAATAATGTGGTTAAACATTATGAAAAATGTGAATGTAATTAATAGCAGTAAGATATTGGCTGTACTACCTTTTTTTCAAAATGCTTCTGCAGAATAATAATTTTTTTTAAAGGATATTTTGGTATGTATTATAAAATGTAGTCATCTTTTTTCTAGTCCAATCTAACTTGGTTTTGGACGGAGGGCTTTATAAGCTTATTGTTTCTGCCAATAAACCCTTTTCAGACTGTTTTTTTTTTTTATGTTACAAGGACCTATACTGTCATTCATTGTATACTTCAGTGTGTGTCCGAAATAAAGATGAGAAATGAGACACAGGAAGGAGCTTTCTTTTATATTTTTTTTTGTACACACTTCCTACTGAATGATTTACTGGAAAATTAGGAAACTGCATGTTCTAAGGGACATATCAAGTTATTAGCTGAAAAAATAAATGAGAATCAAGACATTTTGTGAGCACTGGCAATACTACGGTTCTAGTTATTGGTGCTGGAGCTACTGCATTAACTAGAGCAGTGTTTCTGAACCCGGGCTTCGGGACACACCTCCTGAGTTTTACATGTTTCCCTGCTCTAATACACCACATTTAAATAAAACAGGTAATGAACTGATTCATGTCAACCTAATAGGGAACCTTTAGGGCACTTGAATCCTTACAATATAGACTGTTTAGGATCAGAGTTGGGAAAAACTAGATTAGAGAAAAAAAAATATATATATTAAGTCATGTTGGGTGATTGCAATAAGCTATAAAATCCATTTGCTCAAAAAAAAAAAAAGACGTTGGTTAGGTGGTAGAAAGCACACAGCATTCAAAGCATTATCCAAATCAGGCAGAATACTTTATGGCTTTTTCCTCAGCTGTAATGTTTTGCTTAGACAAATTATTCGTCAATGTGACGTCCCACTTGGGTTTTAGACAAACCTTTGGATTCTGTTGGGGTCGACACAGTTTCCACCGCCTTGGACTTCTTTGATTTCTGAAAAAAAAAAAAGATGTGTTTTGACTACAAAAATATAAATCAAATTGCCTTTTGTGATCATGAAACATCAATGTATTTTCATAAATCTGCAAAATAGATTTACCTTGGGTTTTGCTTTTGCTCGCCTCTCCTCCATCTTCTCCCTCAGCTTCTGAACCTCCTCCTTTGTGCCATTAAGGACAACAATGTCTTCATCTTTAAAAGGATCCCCACACTGAAATTCACAGACAGAATTTAAAGAAAAATAAAATAGAAAAGGTAGATCGGGAAGTGATAGAAAATCCCTTCCCAATCCAATAGTAATGTTCCCATTTAAAGTACAAATAATAAATATAAGGCTATGAAAAAATCCTAGCAATTTTCATAAAGGGTGTTCTTAGCTGTACTTCAGAGCACTTACCTTGGCCTTCTGGTATACCACTGGCCCCATTTAGTTAAGTTTCATTTTTGCTTTAAAATGTATTTAGAATTAGTTAACCTAGTAAAAATAAATTGCATGTTTTTAACATCACTAGAGTTTTGAGTGTTACATAACTTTTATCATGGATTTTTCCATCTTTGTTTTATATTTGTCTCAATATGAAATAATGAAATATGAAATGTGTTGTTCTGTACATTTAATTCTGCATTTAAATAATTTTAGATCCTTAATAAATAGGTTATATACAGGTTATAACTGAACTGAGAGTAGATGTAACTTCATTTAACCATCTGGTTTTTATATGGCTCTTTACTTTGCACTGATCTGATAAAATTCTTGACTAATACATATTTGAACCACACTTAAACTTGTACACTTAATGATTTATCTTTGGGAATAATTGAGTGTGGAAGGTGTTCTTGAAGCTTAGCTTCCTCCAAAAACTCATTATCAGCTGTAAGTTGAGACTCCAGCTGGGCTGCACCAACACTACAATATTGTATTACTTTTAGTCAGAGAAATCAAAGAACATCAAACCTAAATCAGTCAATGGTGTCAATACCTTTTGGATTTACCCTACATACTGTCAGGGTTTGGTTGGGGTTTTGAGGACCCATAAGCAGAGATGAGGACACAGAGTTGAGCTCTTGTAGATTTATTCAAATAACTGACTTTTTGTGTATTAATGTTTTCTTTTTTCAGACAAACTTCATAAGGGCACATTTGATTTGTGTGTTGGTAAAAGAGGCATTTCTCTGGCGGGGTTAAATACGTTTTGGAAGCACATAGAACAAGCATATGTGGTCCTACTTTGTCTTGCAAAGTAATTGTTTGTTTAGCTTGAATAATGGAAATCTGTACTATAGTTTGTCAGTGGAAGTGATTGGCTAGAAGAGGAAAATAGTAAAATATGTGAGGCTATTCACTTGTTTGAAAGACACATTTGGTTTCCCCAATGAGACACTAGAGCAAAAGTAGGAAAAAAATAAATTAGCTGTTGATGTTCCATAAAATCTAATCAATTATTAAAACACTGCACAACCTCTGCATAGCATAAAGATGAACCAGAAAAAACCTCAGTTAGAAAGATGCTGAGTTTTGCTGCCATAAAAAACTGCCTGCAAAGGTGATTTCAGCTTAAACTGGGATCAAATACACTTTTAGAATATTTTCTCATGTTTACATTTTTTTAACAGCAACACGTGAGATTCAAAAGTATATAACTTTGTTTTCAAGCATTAAGTATCTATAAAAAACAATTTTTGTACAATAAAAATAGCACAAGTAAAACAACTCCCTTGTAATTAAAGGGAAATCCCACCCAAAGTTAAATATTAAAACGGGAACCAGGAACGGATCTACTGTGCGTCCATACCCCAGTGTGGGTGTGGACTCTGGCCATGTGCTCTTTTCAACACAAGAGGGATAATCTCAGAAGCTGACCAAGCAGCAAACAACCTCTGTGTGCGTTGCTTTGAAGTTAACTCTCCGGCTGCCTTTACCACAAAAGGCACAGAAAGCCAGCGAGCCAAGTACGTCAGCATCAGATAAACAAATGGGTCAAGTAGGAACCTGTCAGAGATGATCATCCGCAGGACAAAAAGGGGGGAAACTATTTACCAGAAAGGGAACTGTGTGGATGATAATGTACAGGAACCTCTAACGGAAAAGAAGCTGGATTTTCAAAAGACACAAAGAGCAAAAGATGAAGGGGAACATTTGAAAAGCGGTTTGAGGTAAAACTGTTGAAAAACGAAAGGAGGGAAAGACGAAAACAGCGAGTACAAGTGAGTAGGAAACTGTATGTGGGAGGAGTGTGGAAAAAAAAAAAACCCTGAAGGAGAGTCTATGGTGTGTGAGCCTGTTCCTGTGCGTCACGCATGTAATTTTGTGTCCCTGCTGGTAACCAGGCAGGGATGAACCTCGTCTCGCGGGGATACAAGGAGGAGCCATCTAATGAGTACAGCTAGAGAATAACACACTGCTGACTCTACCAGGGACCGGAGCTCGGAGGACTCAGTCCCTCCACCAGAACACAACAAAGCCATCTTTACAACCAAATATAGCTCTGAAGTGCTGCTGTACTTGTTAATGGAGCGAGTGGAGTGGACCTATGTGTAGATCCTAGTCAGGAAGCTATGAGGAGCATTAAAGCCTTGGAGTATCAGAGATTTGCTTGTATGTAAATCTTTATTTCTTCAGAAACAACAGATATCGCTGCCAGAACTACCAGCTGAAGGTAAATTACCCTGTTTTTGCATGTGACTTTACATACATGTGATTTTAAAGTGTTTGATCGACAGAATGGAAATTATTCAGGTAGAAGCATGGGGGATGTAGTAGGACTATACATTTGTAACAGAACTAGAAGTAAAGACTTAAATGTCCCTTAAAGATTTCGGCTGTTTTCGTATTTCTATGATATTTACATTTTTTAGAAGATGAAATTTAACTGTTCACCAAAATGTACTTTTTAAATGATTATTATGGCTTAAAATATGTCCAAAAGGACAGTGTGTGTGCGTATTTGTGGTTGGGAGTGTTGGGGAGCTAATAGCACCTGCTGTCAAGTCTTATATAAATGGTGACTAGTCACTCACGAGCCTGTTTTTTTATCTTGTCAAGGATCATCTGTCTCATGGCACAGAATCATTGTTGTTCTTAAGCTCGACTAGGAAACTCTTATAAAGAAAAAACATTCATGCCTTTTACAGGTGGACATGGAGTGCCCTGGATCACTGTACCGCTGCATAACCAAAGTCCACACAGTCTTTAGTCATTAACTGACAGCTGGACAATGTCCCTCAGGATTTAAAAACTAGGGCTTACTTGGCATGGATAATCTTTGTTTTAAAATAAATATTATCTTACGATTAGGTTTATTACTATGGTAATCTTTGTTGGATACAAAACCATATTCTATGAGTGAAAACCTTAAATATTCATGGTTATACACTTATACTAAATATTAACCTGCAGTTACAGATACATTCCACCCTGAATAATATTGTGTAATCACCGTAGGTTTTGACTCTGACACACATGAATATCTAAAGGATAACCGCTGCTCTTGAGGCTTTTTCTAGTTTACTTTGGTTGTTTGTTGTTTTCTTCTCAGTTTTGTTTTCTTTCGTCTTATAAAGGTATGGAAGCAGACTTCTAGGAGTTGCTGTATATCTTCTGTGTTGTCTATTGTTGCTGTTTTCTTTTATTGTCTCTCTTTTAATGCACTCTTTCCTGTCTCTCTCTCTCTCCTCTTAATTTTTAACCCCTCTTTCTTTCTCACCTCCATTTCCGTCTGTGTCCGTTGTGTACAATTTTAAACCCTAAATAATCTTCAATAAAGTAAAATATACAAGTATCAAGCAGAACCTTATGGCAACAGTCATAATGGTCTGCTTGTGAAAGCAAAGCTGTTGGGCTACCAGCTAGCTCTGGGAAATCGATTCCCAAAGCTACATTGGCAAAACAGGAAACAAAAAAAATACAAGAAAAAAGAAATCCTTAAGTGTGATAAAAGGGGAAAACAAGAAATCTGTCTGGAGACAAATATTTTATTTCACAGCACTGTACCTACTCTGTGAGCAAGAAAAAGCTACCAGGCATTTCTTTAACAAATAGCTGCTTTTTCATATAGCAGTTTCACAGAAGAACAGGGCCATTAGGGAGAAATACTTCACTAGAAGACTATAAATGTACATATTTCCTCAGCACAACCCTCCCCCCCTTACCAGGGGAATAGTGTCTCTTTTGTGCTGTATGGGAGTCACCAAAGCAGGCTTATTGATGTTAGATCAAGAATAATCTTCACAGACTTCAAATCTCTTTAGTTCTTCATCTAGAGATTCTATCAAGAGATTTTACACTATTTTTTAAATCAAACTTGTTAAGGCAAACTGCTTTGTCAAACAGCTGAGTATCCGCATTTAGCTATTTCCCTATTTCTGAGACAAAACTATTTTTACTCAATGTTTTTTTAAACGTGTCAGTAAAGAGACATAATTCCCATGAGATATTGCATTAAACAATAATAGCAAAATTTTATAAAATGATATGTCTGTCACATGTAAAAGCTTACAAGCTAAAGATTGTGTGAGACGATCATTGTGGCAATGGTTGAGTGATTCAGCTCCAAAGGAAATCATGAGGTTGTGTGAGATTGTGTGAGATAATCAGTGTAGCAATAGTTTAGTGATTTCACAACAGTTGGCCAAAGCCTCTACATACATTTCTCCAAAATTATATATAAAATAGTCTTAAAATATTACCAACACAGACTTCAGATAAAAACTGATGTTTTTTTTTCTTTTCTTGTTTTTCAAATCCATTAAATATTTTTCCAGCATCTGAAATTTTGCTCAACCTTCGAGATGAGCAAAACTGGTAGAGGAGTATAGGAGTAACAGACATTTAAAATTCAAGTGGATAGGATGTCTAGGAAAGCCCCATTTAATTTATTTCTTTCATGATAAATAAAATAAGTCAAATCTTATGCACCACATGCACCAATTAACTGGCTGGAGATTTTCTATAAGAAAATACCTATTTTTATATAATTATTGCACGTTCTTTATAGTTTAAGCTTCTTCTGCCCTCCAAGCAGGAGATCTTGTGGTTAAGAAGGCTTAAAGTTGCTTCTTCACGTCATCAGTTTTACTTTCCTTTACATGCAAGCACATGTTTGATTGATTTAACCTTTTTGTATTTGTTTTAACTTAGATTATAGGAAAAAAAATGTAACCTACTTCTGTAATAATATAGAACACAGGGCTATAACATCCTGAAAGAAGGACAAGTTAATAAAAAGTGAATGTTATATATATTATCTAGAGCTTATACTTTGTACCACAACTACCTACAAGTGGTTTCATCAATTAGACATAACCTACATGCTTAACCTCTTTTGATATCCCCCAAGGATTTGAGATCCATCTGGAAATAACCAATCTGGGTTTCTTTTACAGGAGCTTAAACTGTGGCGGTGCTGAAGTACAACAGTGAAACAAGGCTATTATGCGCCAGCTTGACGGCAGAAAATGTAGCTTCCTGTTTTGCCTGGGGATTGTGGTGTGTTCAATCATTTATGGGCTGATTAGAACTAAGCCCGTGGAAAAGCCTTCAAGCTCCAGACCTTTCCCCATTGAATGTAAACCTGTCCTCTCTGACATTGAGAAAGGAAACAAAAACTGTCAGGTAAGTGTTTCTTTAACTGATAAAAGTGCACAGCTGCTTTTAGATAAAATGTTATTTTTTTCCAGCAACCCTTCAGATCTTACAGCTATTGACATTTTAGCAGCTCTTTCCTACTTTGTTTACATCCAGTAGGCATTAAAATGCAGATAGTAAGATAAAGGCAATCAGACAATTAAATGATAAAGAAATGGAAATTAAATAAATAAAGAGTGAATACTGATCCACAGCAAGACAGACAGGTCAACATGTGAATCTGGGTGCACAATGTAAACAACTAGAATGCTTTAAAGATAAAACCTCCCCTCTTAGGAAGTACCCCTTCTCTAAGGCAGCAGCACTGATAAGCATTTTCTCTTTCCACAGATTGAGAATTATCTTCGCAGTGGTGGCCTGCTATGTTCAAACTTGACTACGGAACTACACTTTATCAACGCAACTCTAAGTCGTGAAGAAGAAAACTATCCATTAGCTTTCATTATCACAATCCACAAAGAGCTAGAGGTTTTTGTCCGCATGCTTAGAGCTATTTACATGCCACAAAATGTCTACTGCATACACGTGGATGCCAAAGCCCCAATGGAGTACCAGGAAGCCGTAGAAAAACTCGCCAGCTGCTTTGATAACGTGTTCCTTTCCAGTCGCAGAGAAAAAGTGACATATGCTGGATTTTCACGTTTGCAAGCGGATTTGAATTGCATGAAGGATCTCTCTACGTCTCCAATACCCTGGAGGAAAGTCATTAATTTGTGTGGACAGGATTTCCCAGTCATGAGTAATCTGGAACTAGTGCAGTACATGCAGAGCAAAGAATGGAGGGACAAGAACATGACGCCCGGGGTCAAACAGCCAGCCACCATGAGGCACAGAACGCGGTTCCAACACTGGGAGATTGTGGGGTCATATGTTGTCCCAAGGGTGCCAAGACATGTAAAAGCTCCGCCTCCTCACAAACTGCAAATTTATTTTGGCACAGCATACTATGCTCTCACAAGGGATTTTGTGGACTTTGTTTTGAAGGACCAAATTGCCAGGGACTTTCTTGAGTGGTCCAAAGACACATTCAGTCCGGACGAGCACTACTGGGTGACACTCAACCACATAAAAGGTAAACTGCTTGTTGAACTCTGAATAGTCAAATCAGAAAGGCCAAACTGGTATAAGAAATATGTCAGAGGAGAAATTATACGTATAGCTCATTCAACAAGTGGAGAACACTTAAACCTGCCCTTAAGGTCTTTGATTACTTTTATGTTCACACAATCTCAGTGATGCTTATTTATCCAACTTGGGTTTTTATCTTTACATTTTTAAAATACAAAATCTCGTTTTGACATTGCAGAGAAGCAATCCCCCAAAGTAATGTTTCCTGGAAATGAAATACTCCAGCGTCAATTATCAGATAATACAGCATCCCATACGAGAGAGGTTTAGCCATTAGTGCAAAACACTGCAAACAATTGTGGAGACAAGGGCATAAAATGGACTCTAAACAGACAGATATTGATTATGAAGTAGGACCATGTTAAAAACAAGCCCTTTGAAAAGAAAGGCTGCACACAACAGTTTTAATGTGATGTAACAGCACATAGCTAGAAATCTAACATCACATGGTTATTGACCTGCATAATTATTGCAGCTCTAAGCAAATGTTGGAGGCTAAACAGTAACATAAAACGGAAGTATTGTATTTACTTAAGAGGACACAGTGCACCACTCTGGGTTAAACAAAGAGAACTGATCAAATAAGCGTTATATATTTGGATTTCAAGTTTTGACAAAATTCAGAAACTCTGTAGAAAAACTAGTCTTGGGAGTGTCTCTAAGCTGAGTTTGAAGGGAGGACAGGTTGGTTTTCCCGTTAACTGATCCAAAAGAGGAACATTTGTGGGAGGTCCTACTTCCCTACATGTATTATACACACATTAGCACTAAAAGCCACATTTTTGGAGTCACAATCTTGAAGCATTTTTGACAGCCAGAAGTAACTTAGATGTATGCTAACGCAAAAAACACATTTAGAGAAAAAAAAGCAAGAGCAAAAACTGTACTAAGATATTCAACTGAGCTGTAATCTCTGTATAATTAAGAATTTGGATTTACGTTTTGTTAAAAAACTAGTTTCAGTAGATATTTGAAAAAATGTTTTACTTTTAACCTTATAAGCATTTAAGTTTAAATTATAAAGGAAAACATTCAAAATTCACATTGATTAATTAACATCAGGGCAACAAGGAAAAAAGGCCAAATAACCTTGTTCAGTTTCACAAAAATGTTTTTAAAAGTCAACTTCTTGATAAGGCAGTTTATAACTATAATATAACACACCTGATGTAATTCAATTGATCTGAAGCCAAGTGCAATCGCTGCATCAAGAATAACCCAGATAAGTTGAATTGCATTAGGTTACATAATGCTGCATATAAATCTTCAAATAATTTACTGGTTAATATATCCTATGGCTTCATATGTATTAGCTGTTACACATTAACAAATACAAACTGAAAAATTGACTACCAAAATGCTGAAAAATGTGGGTGCAGCACAAGTCAAATCATAAAAATGTATATGCTCTCACATAAAGGAAAAAAATCCCCAAGAAGATTTCTTTTAAGAATCCAAGTCCCTTTAAGAGTAAAGTTTTTTTTTTTCCTTCTGTCGTTCGTCTATCATTAATTTGTGAGCCAAATTGAAGATGGTTTTTTACAATTTTTCTCCAGCTTGGAGCAACTATATATGCAAAGATATTTTACTGATAATTACACTAACTTAAAAGATACCCCCCTGTCACGACTGACAAGCACTGTTAACAAAATATCAGCATACATATAAATGTGAAACAGTGAAACAGACACTGGAGTGGCATGAAGGTAACATAATAGAATTAAACAGAAAAGAAATCGATCTTTATCTAATTATATGTAAAAAACAAAAAACAAAGATACAATTATTGATAAAAAATATGAAAAACACAAAAGTTGAACTGGAAACTTAATGTTTAGACATGACAGTCAAAAGCCACTTAAATATGTTTTTAACCTCAATCTACAGCAAGTGAGGGTTTCAACACTTTAGCAATTTATTTTAGATTTGTGGAGCATAAAAACTAAATGCTGCTTCTTCTTGTTTGATTCTGGGAACACCAAGTAGATTAGAGCCAGAAGACCAAATCGGTCTGGAAGGTTGATCTACTAACAGCAAGTCTGTAATATATTTTGGATCTAAACCATTCAGTGATTTTAAAGTATTTTTAAGTTTATTCTTTGAGAGAATATAAGCTGGGGGAGGACTTTAACAATGGGGTGATGTGTTCCACTTTCATGTTTTTGGTGAGGATACAGGCAGCAGCTTTTTGAATCAGCTGCAGTTGTCTGTGATTTTTTTGTTTTTAATGCAGACCTGTAAAGCCACAGTTCCAGTAATCAACTCTACTTGAACACATGGAATTAGTTTTTCTAGGTCCTGCTGAGACCTTAGTCATTTAATCCTGACTTTATGTGCCTTTGAAATTTCAGGTCTGAGTCCATAACTACACCCAGATTTAAAACCCAGTCTGTGATTTCTAGCTGCATTGATTGTAGCTGTGTGCTCATTTCTAATGTGATTTTTGATTTGTATAAAATAAAAGCCATGATAGGAATGTTGATATTTACTTAGATGTGTAAACACAATACTAATTGTTTAAAAACAAACGATAATATTAACCATTCATGTTATCTGACTGCGTAAAGAAGCTCCAGGTAGTCGGATTAATGGAGGCTGGGAAGGATCCATCCGGGCAATCAAGTGGAGGGACCAAGAAGGGAAGAGTCATGATGGCTGCAAAGGTATTCCACGGTCAGGTTACATTGGTTAATCATTGGGTTTAGGCATTGACCCACAGCCTAGGTTGTAAGAGTTTTGCTAAGCTATGTAATCAGGAAAGAACTGTTCAGAATGTTTGAAATTTCTTTTTGTCTTTTAAAGGGCATTATGTACGAGACATCTGTGTCTATGGTACGGAAGACCTTCAGTGGATCATTGAGAAGAATGGCATGTTCGCCAACAAGTTCGAGAGTAATACATTTCCAGAAGCCCTTTATTGTCTGGAACATTGGCACAGGAACAAGGTTCTGAAGCAAGCGACTGTTCCCATAGATCCATCATGGCAGCTAAACTCAGAGATCCACTCCAGAACCTCACCTCTAAACAAGCTGTGTTAAAAAAAAAAAATTGTTGCTGATAGATCTAACTAAGAGGGCTGTTTACGTTGAAACTTAAATCCAGAGAGGGAGCATAATTGCACAATTAAATCTAGTTTGAATTTAGTTTTACAATGCATGTATGGCTTGAAAAGGGATATTTTAATATATTTATTTATTTTTTTGAATGTTAAATATTCTATAGGATGTAAAAAAAATAAAGACATTTTGTAAAACATTTCTACTGTTAGAATAAATTGTGTTCTGGATTATTTTCAAGGATCATGATAACATTTGCTTTTGATGAGATACAGTATGTATTGGAAGAAATGTACAAGCCAAACAGCTACAGGTCTTACTGCCACAGGCCATGAGCAAGTTGTGGCCTGTGGGTGATTTAAAGAAATTTCACATGAGTTTATTAAAAATAAAGAAAATAGTATCTTAAAATTACAAAAGATACACACTAAGTTTTAAGTTTCAGGGAAACTGCATGCAGGTTCATCTGTTCCTTTACTACCCCCTAGTGGCCAGACATTTTAAATTTCTTAGAACTGAGATCAACAAGTATTGTTGTCATGTACCTGGTACAACGAAAATATCATTGGAATATCTTTGACGGAAAAGTACTTCTGTGTTAGTAATCAGCCTTTCATAATATTTCTGTATAAGCGTCACCTTTGCTATATCCGTAATTAGCTGTGTACTGTAGCTGTTAAATTCTTTCTTGTGACTTTGTTACAGACATAAGTATAACTGCCACATATTTAAGCTAAGGGACAGGAGGTTCATGCATTTTCATTCAATTGCCGTTTATTTTAAATGACAAAACATGTTCACTCCAGTTGGTTTTTCATGTTTACAAAAAAGATTAAACCAATTTGAACACTTGAGGTCTTTGTGTTTGTTATACGTCTAAAACAGGTAGGCGAAACTGTGTGAGGAAAATAAAATAAAAAGGATGAAGTGCATTACTTTTATATAATGTCACAGCTTACTTCTAAAATATCATTTTCTTACATGACAGATTTCAAGTTCAATTACTTTGTCATTGATATGAGGGAAAACATCATATTTAAAATTAGAAAAATAAAACTTAAATAAAGATTTTGCAAGTCAGATGTCAAAATAATATTTTTGTTAAAAAGAAGGCATGATGTGCCATTTTTAATATAATTTCACATCAGAATTTACTAGGTAAAATATCCAGTTTCTTTGAATGATATTTGGGTTTTATATTTCGACCTGTGATTAAATACAGTAACTTGATCACATTGGAAAGGTGAAAGGTCATTCTAACAGGTGTTGCACACGGATTTAGTTCAATAATTTAAAATCTGGGACTTATTCCATCAATTTTGTTCGGGTAAAGGAGGGACATTAAGCAGAACCTTTTCAGCTGTTTGAAACAAGCAAAACCAAACGCTCACCTACCGAACTTTGGTTTTACAAATGCAGCGTTAACAAATGAAATAACAGCAGACACCATGTGGAACCACTACAACTGGAGACAGTACGCTCTTATTCCTCTTTAAAAGATAAAATCATGTATTCAGACAAAACAGTTGCAGCAGCTACAGGTATGAATTCTAGCGTGTTTGTGTATTTAGAAATACTGCAGAAATTCAGCTTTCAGATGTGACTATTTACTGTGTTCCCTTAACAATTAGCAGAGTAGCCCAGATTCTTATCACAAGGGGCTGTGCATGAGTGAGGCTGCTCCAGGAAACATGGAAATCTTGATATGCCAAACAGTCGATGCAGTTATAATGAAATAATAAAAAGAAAAATCTGAGACTAACTAAAATACTCTGATTTCCTTTTTGAGGGAGTGGTTCCATTTAAAAGAAACATCTTACAGAGTTTGCACAAAACACATGTCCAAATGTTTCAGTGTGGGCTTTTCTATTATCTGTTCAGTTCTAAAATTTTGGAATTTTACTTCTCCAATTACAGTATAAAAAAGGTTAGACAACTAAAAAAAAAAGAGGTTAGACAACTTACTTTCCCAAATTTTAGAACAAGCAGTAACACTTTCATTCAAGGAAAAAAAAGGGAAGGCTAAAGATAAACTCTACCCAGCAAGTCCATGCCATCATCCTTATCATCCTGGGCCGCAAGCCCTAACTAAGTCCCAACATGGGCAGTGCTTCTGCAAATTCAAAGCAGCATTTTATTTACACTTAATTCAATTGTTTTTAAATCAATCAACCTCAAAAAATTCTAGAAACAATATTCCACCCAGTCAATGTTATTATTTTTTTGGATTGCTGCAAATTTATCAAAAATAAAAAAAAATCTAAGCTTAAACTGAGTCCACCTGTTGTAAATTCAGTTGTAAAGCTGGCAGCGTACATTAGAGCAATAATACCAAGCATGAAGTTAGTCCAGAGCGCTCCAGACCTTGGACTTAGACAACGACCCAAACATCTTAAAACAAGTGGTTTCAAAACAACTCTGTGAATTTCCTGAAGTGACTAAGCCAGGGTCCAGACTTAAATATCTGGAGAAATCCTAAAAAATGACTGTGTATAAATTTGTCCCATCCAGCCTGACAAGGCCTGAGATGGGCTCTGTCCCTATCAGCACCAATGCTGGTTACACTGAAATGTATCAACATTACTCAGAAATAAGGCAGATGCTGATGGTTTGGAATGTAAGAGCTATAAACATCGCCTTGAAAAAGAATAAAACATCAAAAAAAAAAAATGGAGTGGCCTTAATTAGCAAAGAAACAACAAAAAAACGAAAGACGATAAAGGTGTCACATCGAATAAATAAAACAAGGTCCATTTATCTACTGATGAACCCCTCTTTCTGTCAAACATTTGGTCTCATATTTTAAATGTTACAGGTATACACAGTATACTGTCAATAATTACTTTAAGGTTCCCAGATAATGTAATTACACAATACGCTCAAATCCTCACCTCTCCATCCCCAACCCTGGCAGTTGGTATGCTGCATATAATTTTCACATATTTACAATGCAGACAAACATCTATAAATTGGACTCACTTGTTCAAAGGCTTTTGTTGCAGATGCAATGCAGTTCGTTAATCTACAAATTTGCACAGCCAAATCATACTAACACAAGGCTCTCTCTTTTCACAACTTCTAGATATTTAAACTCACTCAAAATGTTTTTTTCTTTTAAATATAGCAGTTGCTAACTTTAACATTCAATAAATTAACTGAAGCATCAGACAAACAGGAAACAGACAAAAAAAAAAAGGAAAATTGCCTACCTTATGGCAGATTTCGGTCTTAACCTCCTTAAGAGCCCTGTCTGAGAACACACAGCCACAGCTCTGTAGGAAACAGAACCTAAAACAAACATACACAAAAAAAAATGTTTAAGTTCTGGAGTATTATATATTCCTCATGTTTGGGTTGTTAAATATGACACTTTTATCACTTGTCTCTGGGATTCCCCTAGAAATATTCCCAAGAATGTGCTGCTTATAGCTTAGGTAAGCAAATAAATGTAAAATAACTCAGAATACACTTTGCAGTACTGGGCATTAAACTTCTTGCTTTTCAGTGTTAAATAGATCTGCAAGGAAAAAATGCCTTAAAGAGCCTGCTGTGAACCTATTTTTAAGGCACTGAAAATAAAATTGTTTACCTGTGTTTTCCATTCATCTCCAACCCAACAACAGGGCAGATAAACATGCCGCAGTAGATGTCCTCGTATCTGTCTCCTTTAGCATTTCTCCTCTCTCCTTCCCACTCAGGGTTATCAGTCAAGTTGAGTTCCTTTATATCCTGAAAGAACAAAAGTGTTTTGTGAAATAAAACACACATTAGACAAATGAGTCATATGTGCTCAAGTCTTGTCAAAACATCAACATGGCTAGTTTTACTATACAATAAATATACCTTGATCCCACGGATGTGAGTAACTGCCTCAGCATTTGGTCTCTCAGCAGATTTATCCAGGAGATATTCAATTATTGCGTCTTTGTTATAAAGTCTGAAACACAACATGAAAGCTTTTTTTATTACTCAAAGACAAAGAAGTAAATGTTTTGTCTTACTGTGACTAGAAAACCAACGGATGTGAACATAATAAAAAAACTCAGCATGTTATCAACCAGGGCTGTCAACTCTCACCCACTGGATGCGAGACTCACGCATCCCAGTGTCTTCACACGCTCACACTCCAAATATCCAATTTGTCATGCTAAAAAATGACAGACATTAAAACTCAACTCCATTCCACAATCCAGTCCAACCTTACTGCTAACACACAAGGACATGCCAGGTTCCTTCTCAGTCCGTATTTTTACACTAGCCAACCTATTCACTGTTCCTACAGCATCATTTTAATTTTTATCTTATATTGACTCAGATAATTCACTTTTGATGAAGATTTTAAGCAATCTAACACTTGAGTAAATATGAATAAAATATACAGCAGCTAGCTTAAATTATCAATGTGGAGATTGAGTGTAGGATACAGGGACCAGACCTCCCAGATTTCGGTTGACAGTCCACATATTGGACCACCTGTCCCCAGGTAAAGCTGTTCCCCCGAAATGTCCCTGATTTTACAGTTTTATGAATGAGAGAGAAAATGTTATTGTTATTAAGGTAGAACAGAAAGGTAGCACAGAAACAGCTGTTAGGATCACATCAAACCGACCTCAAATTGTTTGTTTTCTCTACATCTACTGCTTTTTTTTTGGTAAGCTTTACTCCTTGTTTGCTCTAGTTAAGCCACATGATTTAGTCCCAGTTTTACTGACAAATTAAATAGTTATTGCTCAGTCTGGTTGAATAATCTCCCATCTAAAATTAGGACTAATTAAATAAACACAAATATCTTGATTTTAAAGTTTTCAGTATGCCTCACAAACCGATAACAGGTCCACAAAAAAAAAAGAACTATTGCATTTTAGTTTTCAAAAGATCATCCACCTAAGAAAAGGCCTAACACATAAGACACAGAGGGGATGTGCGGACAAACTCAGCTCTCCAGGATTGATAGAAGAGGAACCAGAGGGATGTTCTTGTTTTACTATTTGTATTCTTATATTGGTCATTTGAATATGTTTCCAACACATTTTCCAAAATGAAAGAGCCAGGGAAGTGCTTTCTTGTGTCATGGTGAGGTTTTATAGAATCTACAGCCTCCTAGAAGGTCTAAATTGTTTGGCTGATTTGTCAATTGTAAAAAAAAAAAAAAGAAAAAGAAGTTGGAATTTTTTTATCCTTAGCCTATTACCAAACATACAGAGTGTAGCTTGCATTGGATTCAATTGCACTGATTCCTGTATTAGTACCAATAATCCAGAAAAACAAATTAGTTCCCCATTATTTATTTTACTTGAACTGCATAGAATAATTAATAAAGAAAATTGTGAAATTCTTAGTTTATAGTACATTTAACATGCAAGTATTCTAATAGGGCCAATACTTGTTTACTTCAATTATCTGATAATCACCAGAATGTAATGTAAAAATCCCTTTATTGTCACACAATGGGGAAATTCACTCTCTGCATTTAACCCATCACTTTGGGGAGCAGTGGGCTGCCATTGTGCGGCACCCGGGGAGCAATGTGGGGTTAAGGGATTTGCTCAGGAACCCAGAGAGGAGGCTGTGGGGATCGAACCACTCTAACCACTAGGCCAAATCTCAGAGTATATACAATATTGTATATTGTGTGAAATTTTTCCACATAATATAAAAAAGCCACTTTGTTTCAGTTAGATCCTCTGAAAACCTTCTGCCTAAAGCTGCACCTATCCTCATCTAACCTTGACATGAGTCCAAATTATTTCAAAATCTCACTCCAGGTTTGGTGAAAAGTTGGTAGCCCTGTATTAACATGTTTTTGTGTGTGTGTGTGTGTGTTGATAGCGTTAAGCATATCTTACCTGCCCAGCTCACACGCAACGATGGGACGCCTGAGTTTCTCTTGGCTCAAGGCACAGTACTTCCACTTTGCAGCAAGTTCAGCATTCTTGTCAACCTGAGATAACAATAGAAAGGCAATACGTACATATTACCTAGCTTTATTATTAATTCACTGAAAAATTCTCCATTTGTAAAATATAATTCTCTAATTACCCTGCTTCTGTGAATAGTTATGTGTCTATATGAAATTACGTGCCCATATGAAGTTACTTTGGAACTGTAAGCTTATGTTTAGCTATTAGCATTAGCAAACCAATGACTAGCTTCGACAACGAGTTACCACCGTGTTTTACAGACATAAGAAAAAAGAAATAAACATGTGAACAAACCTTCTCGACTTTCTTTGGCCCTTTCACCAACTCATGTCTTTTCGGAATCGTACCACCATCACACCCCATCTTGAAAATTGGACTTTTAGTAAAGCTAAAGCAGTTAGCTAATGCAGACGGAGCTGTGCCTGATGTCCGGAAGTGATCTGGTTGTAAACAAACAAGGACAAAACCTCAAAGCTCGCGAGAGGTAAGAATCAATAAATAGCGCCCTCTGCTGGTACTAAATGCACATATTTGTGAAAAAAAAATCTCAGAATTAATTGTATTTTCGATCACTTTTTTTTTTTTGCTTTGAATTAATATAAATTTTCAAACGTTCAGTTTTAAAAGAAAATTCTTCATCTCAACTCAATTTGAAAAATTTAATAATTTAAAAAATAACATAATTTTAATAACAAAAATCTAGTAGTTTTAATACACCTATTTTATCAAATTTCAATTTTTTTAGATTATGTTTTTTTTTGCATAAAGCAAATACATTTTTATTTGATCAACATTAAAAAACAATCACTCTCTAAAAAATAAATAAAAATATCCTTTAAACCACAAAATATTAAAGATAGCATTTTCATAAGGTCAGAATCAAAAACAATTTTACAACAATCAATCAGCACAGCAGAAAAGCAGAAATGGGTACTTTTGAAAATCAACCTCTTGCTCCCTCAGTATTCACACACAAACACACACACACATACACACAGACTTGTTTCTCTATCTGAGATTAATAAACTCCTATATTATATTGTCTTATTTTATCTTATCTAAATAGGTAAAAATGTGTAAACAAGTCACAGACAGACAGACAGACAGACAGACAGACAGACAGACAGACAGACAGACAGACAGACAGA